TCCAGAATTTGTGTTTTGCTAGAATATTTGCTTGATCTCTTTCTCTAAACATGTTGATGTATTCTCAAAATTCCTCTGGTAGAGTTTCTTTGATTCTTGTGTTCTGGTCATCTTTCTGTACTCACAGCTGTATTGAGTTGTCAAGATTCTTTATGACTTGATTCACTGTTTTATCATGATTCAGATTATCATGAGTTTCTTCTTTTATTTTGATCAATTGTTGTTCTTGTGGTATCTTCCTGTTGACTTGACTTATTATAGTCAATGTCTCACCCAAGTCATTCCTGAGTGTGGGTCTTCAATCATAATGTTCTGGTTTGAGAGAGCATTCACAGTTTGCTAGTCTAACTTTTCCTTCTCACCAGTCAATGTCTGAATTGTGCTGTTTCAACCAAGAGTATCTCAAGACTATATCATAGTCTCCTAAGTTTGTCACTTTGAAACACACTTTCTCTCTGTGTTCTTGTATTTTCATTTCAATGAGATATGTTTCTTACTCAACTCTATCTAGAGTTCCTTCTTCCAGTCCTGTCAACTGGTAGGAATGTTCCTTTATTCACTTCATGATGCCAGCTTGTTTGTTGAATTCTCTGTTGATGAATAATTCAGTTGCTTCTGAGTCCACTAAGATCTTTGTGTGTGTTGATTCAAGTAAGATTGCTGTAATTTTGAGATGACAGATTTGTCTGTTGATGGCTAACAGTTTTGCTTGTCTTCTTGTGCTGCTCACAGACTCTTGTTTGTGACAGCCCACTTGTTTTCTGCTTTAATGAGAGTTGTCTTGAGTGTCTGTTTGTGTATCTTGCAATTCTCTAAGTTGGAACATCATATCTTGTGCATTCTTTTTAGACTTTTGATATCTCTGCATCCTGCACATTCTTCACATTCTTATAGTTCATGCAGTAATCTTGTTGCCTTTCATTATTCTTTATCATGATGGTAATTGCATTGGCATTTGTATTCCAGTTCATCATGACATGAGTGGTATGAATCATTCACTTCTTTTTGTTTCTTGTCTCAATGCCTCTTGCATGTCTGTATTGATAATGTTCTGTTTTCTTTACAGATTATTCAGTGTAGTTGTTCTCCTCAAATCTGTAACATTCTCACAGTTGGACATTTCTCTTCTTCAAGTGTCACACTTTTCATGAGATCTAGTTGCTTCATGACATTCTCTTCATGTTCTTTAAATTCTAGTACTTTCCAACTAGATTCTTCTTCTTTCTGAGTTGCTCTCAATTTTTTTGATGGTCTTGGGTAGTATCTCTTATCTTTTTCATTTTTATGAATTGGGCATTTATTTTTGTAGCACAAGCTTCAGTAAACTCTAACATGTTCTGAATGCTCTGTGTTTGATATATTCTGAGAGTCTGACATTTCTCCTTCACTTTCTTCAGTATTGCATCTGCAATGCTGACAGTCTTTAATGTTGCATCTGTAGTCTTTATAATACATGAAGTTTTCTGTATTCTGTGTTTATTGCATGAACTCTTCTTGTTGTTTCTGGTGAAGTTCACATGAACAACTGTAGATTGGGTAGTTTGCATGTTTTTTATGGGTTGAGTCTCAAATCTTGTTCATCTTCAGATTGTAGTGATAGTCACATTCTGATGGTTGAATTCTTTAATCATCACTTGATTTCTTTCTTTTAATCACATACAGTTCTTCACACAATTCCCATTTGTTGATTTTTAGTCCATTCTGACACTTGCTTTCATTCTCTGATTGTCTTAATAGTGCTTGATGGATCTTCATAATGTACTTTTCAAAAGCTTTATAAAACTGTTGTTGTAATTTTTTGTCTGTTGGTTTCTCTTGAACTGTTGCTTGAAGATAATGTTTTGATTTCTTGAGATTGTCTTTATTTTCTTCTAAGATAGCTCTGAGTTCTTTTTCTTTGTGTTTGACTGTCTTTGTTCAATATTGCTTTACTTGATGTTCTGATTTGCCACAATAGAAACATAGTTTGTCTTTCTTTCTCCATTTTCTTTCTTTTTCATCAAGAGTGTCTTGTCTGATTGCTTCCAATTTCATAGGCATAGATCTGTAAGAATCTGCTTGAGATGTTTTATTTCATCTCTTGTGATTCATCAAGCTGGGTTTTTTTCATGATATCTTTTCTTGTTTCTCCATCTTTTGTTTGTAGAGTCAGTTTCCAATCCTAACTGTCACTTCAATCATTTCAGTCAGATTTTGTGATTGTTTCTTCATGCATGCAATTTTGTCTTTGATGTCATTGAATAGTCCTCAATAAAAGATATTGACTAGGGCTTCATTGTTCCAATCTGTGTTGATGCATACTTGTTGAAATGTCATAGTGTATTATTGTGATGATGTTTTTTGTTGCATGTTCTGTAACTGCTGTGTTGCTACATTTCATTCTTCAACTTCTCTGAAAGTGATTTTAAGTATTTTGATAAAGATTTTGTAATGATTAATGACTCTGAGCATGTCATCATCCTGGTCAACTTCTTTTTTCTTATAGTAGTTCTGTAAATAAATGTTGAATCAATTGAATGCTGCTTTCTGAAGATATGATGCTGCTGCCATTATCTTTTTTTTATTATTTTTGAATTCTTCTTTCTTCATGTTTATATAGATTTGTAGTTGTTCTAGAAACACTTGCAACTTTTCTCATTCATCTTTAAACAGCTCTGTGAGATTGACTTTCATCTTGCTTTTGATATTAGGAATTGCTATTATCTGAGCCTCAATCTGCTCATTGTGATTCTTAAGTTCATGATTTTGTCAAGTCAAGATTTCTATTGTCTGTTTGAGTCATGTAATCTTTTCCATCATTTCTCATGCACTGTTTGAGATTCCAGTTGTAGACATGATTTCTATATTCCATTGGACTTCTTAATGGGTGGAATTTATATATTTATTTCTCTTTCACTTGTGATGCAACATTCTTTCTTTGCACTTAAGCTCTGGGGTCTCAGGTGTATCCTCTCCTGAGTCAGAGGTGATTATGGTGTTATTGAACTTGTTGTCCAACATAATAAATTGAGATTTTAGTGATCAATACTTCAATGGTGCTTGATCTTGAGTCAGCAGACTTGCTCAATGACAAAGAGTTTTCATGCAAGTATGTCAGAGTTGGGTCAAGGCTGTTGTGCTTTCTCAAGAGTAGTGAGAGCAGATACAATCATACAGTATCACAGAATTTTGATGGTATGGAAAGTAATCAAGATATGATAGTATCTGTATAGATAAATCTATAGAGAGAATTGTAAGAGAGATTGATTATAATGAATAAATTCATCTGATCAACAGTAAAGAGCATTCTTATATACATGATGAGTATTGTAAATAGTTTAAGCAGTCTCTTCTATTCTTCTGTTCACTAGTTGAGATAGTTGTAACTATTCTGACTATTCAGCTATCTGTCAGTTGAGATAGTCACTACTATTTTGACTATTTAGTCAAATGACTTTTATCTTCTCAGATTCTAGTTCTTTCTATCTGTAACTCTCATAATCTCATCAAGCTCCACTTCTCAGTCACATTCTCTATATACTCTTTTAATGACATTCAATGATTCTGTGCTGTGCTGCAAGATTTATAACATCATTCTTTTCTTTCTTAATGTGTTGTTCTCAACTTCTTGCACTCTCTCTTAAGTATAAAGAGTGATTGTTCTCTTGCTTTGTTTTTAA